CGTTCCCCAAACGATGACTGATATTCGCCCCTTGTTTTAAGTTACTTGTTCGCTGTTATCGAATTTATCGATCAGTTACAAATCTACCGATCAATATAGTGCTCGTTCGCTCCCAGCTGTTGGGCGTTCTGTGTTTGCGTCTCTGGTGATAGCGGCGTGTTGCGCAGGGTCCGTATCGCGAGTAATCCACTTTGCCCGTTTCATTACATAAGTAGTTTTGTACTATCACACATTAAAGTGAATGGAACAGGAAAACAGGCGAGCCGTTTAGCTTAACAGCCGAGATACAAGAAATGGTAAACCGTAAAACACCTCCGACGGGATAGGCATGGTATTCAGTCGAGTGTGAGTGCAGCTGTTTACACTAACCAATCATATTTACTTAGATCAATCGGGGCTTGATCATACGCGCTAAATTTTACATGAACACATCTGGCTGCAAAAAATACGACTGCAAAAACGGCATTCTAGAAGTTTAAGCGAGTCGTCGAGAACGTGATTTGAACAAATTCGAATCGGTAAACCTAGACGACTTAGTTGTGGAACGGATGGCCCCGCGGCAGAACAAAAGCGAATTTGATGTATTTCATGATGTATGCTACCGAGCGCATCCCCACTCCGCGGTTTGGGGAACGGTCGCTAACTCGCGGTTAACTGTGAATGAGGTGGGTTTATTCTCACCGAATAAGCGGTCGCGGAGAATCAAGGACAGTGCTCGAGGAAGTGGTGAGTTTACCAATTGGCAAGGGTTCTAGACACAAAACACCACATGTAGCTGATGACAGCACTGTGACATGGAGTGGCGTGGCGTGGCCACCAAATACGGCCATGGCCCCTTTGTCGAATTCCATCTACCCGACAAGGTCTTCCGGATAAGACGAATGAACAAACCGACCGGTCACCGGTTTATCTGGAACATCGCTCCTGCCTTGCAGTTCGCCCTTGATTGCGCAAAGGCTTGAGTGCACCCTCGAACAAGGCCTACTCTGGACTGGGCGACCGAGTAGTACAACAGCCCATAGTGTTAACAGAAAAATGAAACTCAAAGTAAGCAGTAATTCGCTCTTTCAGTTCACATCTTTCATAAAAAATGCTGTTCTAATTTTTTCTCTCCCGCACATTTACCGCTCTCAAACATTCCCATTGTCATCCGGATCTTCAGACAACCGCGATTGTTGTGCGGTTTGTTCCCCATAACAGTCAAAAACATCTTCAAAAAGTGTACGGGAAAACTAACAAAAAAAATTATTCATTCATTATTTTGTTCTCCCCATTTCTATTAATGTTTCTGTATCCCGTCATAACCTCATTATCATTGTTTTGCGTTGGCACCAGTGTGATATATATATATATATATATATATATATATATAACTCAGAGTTAAAGTGCGATCACAAAAGACCTATTTCGCTTACTGGAGAATGAACAAACGTGGCCATGCAACACATTGTGCTAGACACATCAAGCTCGGATAATGCGAAGCACAGAGAAATCGAATTCAAACAAAGAAAATTGTGATTGGTAGGAGACAGAGAGAGATGTGATGAGCGGCTCATCGTTCATCAGCACATGTCTGGAAGTCATTTTCAATATAGAAAAATGTAAACAACGTAACTCAAACAAAGACTGGTTATTTTTTGCCTCCAGTATCGTCCTTGTCAGAATTCATCAGTCGTGCACACAGCATGACCCGTTGAAATCCCCGACAAGTCGTTTGTAATCTACTATTGATGGGCTTCAACAAAATCGAAAATCAAATCATGCACTTTTAGAATGTATTTTCTCGATGAACAGACGATTGTGCGTCAAATCAAATGAATATCACACACCTCCCACTACTAGCAAGTAAACGTGAGTTAAATTATGATTATTTTGGCCATCATTTAGGGCAAAGATACAAAAGTTTAAATACAACACTTTGACTTGTTTTCACCAGAGGGGGTTTTCAACCAAAGTCTTTGATGCTGACGAGAACATAGCCGCAAGGTGAAATGATGGCCCATCTGCTTGGATCAATTACTCGTCCACAATTTTACCAACTGAGACGCTAAATCGAGTAAAATGCCAAGACTGGAGGACCACCAGACTGAAGTTGGTTCAACCTCTAACGGTGAACCATCCATGCATGATTAGACCTTTGATTTAACAAAAGCCATCCTGTGTAGCTCGTTGGATCACACAGATGTAGCAACTATCACATCACATCACGGTACAGTCTCATAGTGATGTCTGTTGGTTGTTCCCCTATAAGTGACCTGGGGGACGCGCCAGGTAGTGCGCAGCTCTGCTTCTTTCTACTACCTACCTATTGTGTGTGTGAGATAAACAATTCCCCTGAAAATGGAGAGCGGGCAGCACGAAAAAAGGACCGCGAGTATGTCACATTCAAGTTGAGTTTTCTTTCAATACCAGCAACCCAAATGGTGTACGGTGATGATTGATTATGCGTAAACACACTGAGTACATTTTGCGTCTACACATATATACGGCAAACATGAAACTGATCAACTGGCACATAAACCAAGACTTATTAGCTTACAAAAAGTATATCCATATCAGATAAGATGACGGAACTCACATTGGGCACTGTTCGTTTGCGGTCAGACAGGTTAGACGAACTGATGCCATTCAGTGTTGGGTCCTGACCGAAAATTCCCCGCAGAATTTGCATGGCTCTTGCCACAATTGGATCTTGGAGAGCCGATGTTGCGGTTGTGATGTTGCCCGATGAGGTCGTGTTGCTGGAAGAAGAGCCGCACAGGCCGCTTGCGCCCGAATGAGTTGAATGCTTCGTGGGGACGGGAACAGAGGTAACACCGCGAGATCCGGGTGATTGGCGATGTGGTGACACAGACTGACCCGATTGTGACGGTGAGATTTGAGATTGTGTATGTCGTTCTAAGTCAACAGCTGCACGGCCGGCAACGAGAGCAATAAGAACTGGTCGATCGGATATTGACCAAAACATGTAAAGTTCACCCCGCTTGTCGGTTGTTTCGCTCACATGACCAAACAAATTTTGAGATCGATCCCAGAAGCACCGTTCGAAGAAGAGAACGACCTGATTATCCGAAAGATCGAATGGTGGAACAAAGACAACAGAAATCGATATAAACCAACAATCAGTCAATGATTTGCTTTAAAACACCTTTAAAAGCATGTTCAGCAGCCAAATACCAAACAGATGAAGGATGAATGAATAAGTAAATTGATTATTAATAAAAAATTAACTCAAAGCTGTGGACAAACTACGAAGGGTATATTACAGGAATGAATGAGAATCAATGGAGTTGCATGGGGTTACGACTAGTCT